AGCTCAGCATTCCGTTTGCGTTGGCGCGGGTCTTGACCAGCACCTCTTTGCCCGCGCCTTCGTCTCTTCCTTCGTCCTTCCTACCCTTGTTTCCTCCTCTCCGTCCTCACACTTTGAAGCTGTATTGAGGGGGTTCCTTGGGGTCCTCTTGCGCCAGCTTAGAAGCCTACTAGGGGGCCTGTTGGAGGCCCGTCGGATATCTCGGGGCCGTCTTGAGAGCGATGGCTCCACCGAGCTCTTCCGAACAGGCTCGGTTGACCATTCTTCGGGACGGACACCCCTCCGCGGAACTTAGCGCCAGTTGTCGTCCCCCGCCGCGTCGGCGCCCCCAGACCCCCAAATTTCCATGTCGATGCCGCAGCACACGACGTTCAGTGTTCCGTCGGCGCCCGCGGACCGCGCCGCGCGCGCACCCGAGCATTAAAACTGGGGGCGCGGGGCGGGGGCACAACATCTGTTCCGGTTCGCGGAGGGTTGTCGTGGACTCCCTCCCGCGAGGGCATGCGCCCGCCGCCTCCGGTGCTGCTGTCGGGCCGCAGTGCGGCCGCGCCACGGGAGGCCAGTCGAGGCGTTGGTGCAGCCGCTCCGGCGTGGTCACGCTGGAGCGGCCGCACCAACGTGCCAACGCTGGAGCAGCGTTGGTCCAGCGTGCTCCGCTCCAGCGTTGGTGCAGCCGCTCGAGGCGTTGGTGCAGCCGCTCCAGCGTGGTCGCACGTCGCCTCCAGGCCGTGGAAGGTAGGACGCGCGGCCAGGCGGGCGCACGGTGGCCGCCGCGCGTCGGGGCAGGGAGCCTGGGAGCTGCGGCCCTGGCTTCGAGTGGTCGCTCGGCTGGTTCGGAGTCGCCTAGGTCGGGCTTGTCCCTCTGCAGGAGAAATATCCAAGAACAGTCCAAAATAGTCTGGGGACGACTTTGTTCACTACTTCTGGCTATCGTTGAACATGTTTCTGGTATGTTTTTAAATCTTCGCCCACCAGCCGCCTGTAGGGGGACAGGCCCGACTTAACCCTAGTTTCAAGTTGTCGCTCGACTGACTTGGAGTCTCCTAGGCTGAAGGGATTGCCTGGCCTCCCCTCTTATGGTCGTGTCTGAACTGCTCGTGCAATGGCACCGCTGTCTTTCGTGGAACCCTCTCGGGACCCCAAGGGTAGCCCAAGAAGCTCCTAACGACAAAAAGATCAAGCATGCGGCCAGAGGGATCCATTCAACACTTCTGCATGGGAGAAAGAGGAGAGGAGGAGAGGAAAGGGAGGCGAGCTGCATGCTGTGAGGTTTTAAGACCGCCCAGTCGAAATATAGTGATAAGGGGCCTTTAGCGAGCAAGCTCTTTTTGCGCCCAAGTTGGGCCCGCACAGGCCCTGGATACTAAGAAGCATCGAGCCCTTTCCGAATCTAAAGTGTTCCGTATTCCGAAACTTCGGCTGAGCCGTATACGTAGCACCCCGCAGTTGCGGATAAGAAGCCCGCCGCAGGCGCCGAATTTTCGTCAAAGCAACGTAGGTGGGTCGCGGGTGGGTCGCGTGGTGAGTTGTTGGCGGGTCGCGGGCGAGGACGACGACGACAACGACGACAACAACAAAACAACAGCAGCAACAATAATTCTCATTTTAAGATTGTTAGCTCTTATCTGCTCGCGTGCCATTCAGCACGTAGCTCCGAAATCCTCGATACCCGCCCTCTTCGCCTTCGATCGTCCCCCCTTGGACGTATATCTCTCTTACCTGCAACGAGTATTTCGTGCAGCCCCTAAGGCAGGGAAGAGAGGACGGATGGAAGGAAACGAAAAGGGGAGGAGGATGGAGCACGAGAGAGAGTAGCAGGAGGGTGGCTAGAAAACACATGGCAGAACCAGACGGGCATATCAGGCGGGTAGACCCTAAGAGGCGGGTCGGGAAGGCGGGCCCAGGCGGCCAGGTCGAGCATGCGGGTTTCTGAAGCGTGCGTCCTGCATGATTCGCGAGGAAGTCTCGAGCGACAGCGCGATTCCCAAATAAATCGTCAGGAAATCCACAGCGAGATCGTGATTCCTGCGTGTCGGGGGCGCGGCGTTGGAGTAGTTTGCGAGGCAGTCCCACGCGAGAACGCGATTCCTCCAAACATTGTGAGGACTTCCCGCGGAGCCGTTGTTGTTCTACTTCGGGGCACACCAACCCAGTTTGGTGACACCCTGCTCTCCCTTGTAAATAATCAGGGCGTGAGCCCCGGGAAAAGCATTTAAACTGGAAAATGCAATGGTTACCGGGGAGGGGGCCAACCATATTTACCATGTTAGAATTGAACATTGAGCAGCAACAACAACAGCAACAACAACAACAATGATTGTAAGATTGTTCGCTCTTATCTGCTCGAGTGTCAGTCAAACATGTATTTCCCAAACCCTCGAAACCCGCCCTTTTCGTCTTCGATCGTGCCCCGCTTGTGGGGTACATTTTTCTTCCCTGCAGGCTGGGCCCCGGCAAGCGGCGGGGCAGCCGCGCACCGTCGGCATGGCCAGCGGCGACGCAGACCGGCGGCAGCCCGACCCTAAGAGGGACGGACAGGGGACCGACCACGACGACGACGACGACGACGACGACGATGACGATGACGACGACGACGACGACAACGACGACGTCGACGACGACGACGATGACGGCGACGACGACGAGCGAAACCGAAAGCGACAGCGAGAGCGACAGCGGGGCCACGAACGGCAGTGACCACGAAGGGCGGTGATGGGGCCACGAAGGACAGCAAGGGGGCCACGAAGGGCGACAGCGGGGCCACGGAGGGCATGCGTATGGGGCCACGAAAGGCGCGAACGAGCGGGGGCCACGAAGGCAGATTCTGGGGGACCACTGGGGGTAGCAACGGGACCACGTAGGGCAGCGAGGGGGCCACATAGGGCGACAGCGGGGCCACGAAGGGCATGCAAATGGAGCCAAGACGGGCGCGAACGAGCGGGGGCCACATAGGGCATACGTACATTGGGCCGCAGAAAGCATAGACGGGGCCACTGAGGGCATCGAGGGGGCCACGTAGGGCAGCGAGGGGGCCGCGAAGGGCGACGGCGGGGCCACGAAGGTCATGCGCACGGGGCCACGAAGGGCGCGAACGAGCGGGGGCCGCGAAGGGCATGCGTATATTGGGCCGCAGAAGGGCAGCCAAGGGGCCACGAAGGGCTGCAACGGGGTCACGAAGGGGCAACGAAGGGGCCACGTAGGGCTGGAACGAGGCCACGAAGGTCAGCGAGTCTGGCACGAAGGGCTGCAACGCGGCCACGAAGGGCAGGGAGGGGGCCGCGTAGGGCTGCAACGGGGCCACGAAAGGGCAGCGAGGGGGCCACGAAGGGCTGCAACGGGGCCACGAAGGGCAGCGAGGGGTCCAAGAAGGGCTGCAACGGGGCCACTGAGGGCATCGAGGGGGCCACGAAGGGTTGCAACGGGGCCACGAAGGGCAGCGAGGCCACGAAGGCTGCAACGAAGGGCAGCGAGATTCCCATTCCCAAATAGGCTGTGAAGGAGTCCTGGGCTGGAACGCGCTCCTGAGTAAACTGCGAGGAAGTCTCAGGCGGGAGCGGGGGTCCTGGCGAACTTGTGAGGAGTTCTCAGGCGGGAGCAGTTGTTGTTGAAACCCGGGGGCCAGGCCCGCTGTTTGATCCTTGTGGATTTCCCTGATAAGAAACAGGGTGCGAGCCCAGGGAGAAGCATTTCAATTGAAAAACACAATGGCCACCGGTGAAGGAGGGATCAACCATCATTATTATTCACGAATGGTTGTGCAACAACAACAGCAGCAGAACCAGCAACAGCAACAACAACAGCAGCATCATCAACAACAACATCAACAACACCAACGACAATCAGTTTAACACTGGTCGCTCTGATCTGTTTGTTTGCCATTCAACACGTATTTCCCGAACCCTGGATACCCGTTTTCTTCGTCTTCGATCGTGCCCCATTTGGGGGTCCTGCCGCGTGTAGGTAGCGCAGCTCCTAAAACAGGGGAAGCGGGGAAGATTGAAAAGACAAGGGGGAGAGAGAGAAGGATGGAGCACGAGAGAGAGTTGCAGGAGGAGGGTAAGGAGCAGGAGCACCATCGGCAGAAGCAGACGGGCGTGTCGGGCGGGCGGACCCCAACGAACAGGTCAAGGGGGCGGGCCCAGATGGCCATGTCGAGGAGTCGAAGGGGCGGATCGCTAAAGCGTCGACCCATCATGAAGGAAGTTTTAAGCGATATCGCGACTCCCGAGTAAATCATCAGGAAAACCACAGCGCGAGCGTGATTCCTGAGTCTTGGGGGCACTGCGCCGCAATACATTGAGGAAGCACCACGCGAGAGCGCGATTCCTGCAGAAATTCTGAGCGACGTCCCCCGCGAGAGCGCAGACCCCAAGTAAATTGTGACGAGGTAACAGCCTTGAGAATGATCGTTCGGCCCCTTTACTCGGATAACATGTACAGACTTCCATATGTATACGCACCTATACATATACATGTTTACAGGCATACCCATATTTTCACACACACACACACACACACACACGCGCACACACTGCGTTCACGCTTCAGTTACAACATCAGCGCGCGTGGGCCAATCTATTCACAGCGTCACCTGCGCGTTGAATCAAGGCCGCTTGGCGCACACCCGCGCTTTTCCTTGACGGGCTGCTGGAGGCCGCCCTGCAGGGATTGGGAAGCTCGGATTTAGATGATGTAACAAAAACGCTGGGAACTTTTTCCCGTTTTCGAGAACTATTTCTTTTCGTTTTGGGGTCAGCTTTCTCCGTTCGGGGATTCTCGTTCCCACCGTTGTCGGTTCGGTTCCAGTTTGCATTGGCATTCCTATGCTCTGGATTGCCGTTGTGTTCTCCCGTTGTGGTGGGCCGAAAGAAAAAAGTTGAAGTTGAAGACAGTGGAAGACGCCCCCAGGATGTCAACATCATCCAAGAGCCTGTATCGTCCTCACCGCGTGCTCTCCTTGCCGGATGCCCCCCCCCCGCGAGCCTCAGGTCGACAGCAAGGCCGAGGAGGTGGCCAGCTGGGTCACCCGGGTGCGCAGGAGTCAAAGCCGCCCCCGCCGCGCGGGGGCGAACGGAGAAGAGCGAGCATCAAGGGGAAAGCGCGCCACGATCGACCAAGCGTTCAGAGGGCCGGGGCGCAGTTCGACTCCTCCGACTCGAATCGATTCGATGTCGATCGATTCCGCTTCCGATTCCGATTCCGATTCGATTTCGGATTCCGATTCGGATTCCGGTTGCTCAACGGAGGCCTTATTGGCCTGCTGATTTCCGCTGATCCGATCTCTCCCCACTTGATTGCCGAGTCCCGCCGGTCGCCGATCCGACTTTTATCGATCCGAGTCTTGGCTCTCCTGCGGGGTGAGCGCCGCAGGCGCATCAGCGAGGAGCACCGCCAGCCAGCAGGTGCCCCGCGGGAAGCCGCAGCTAAGCTCTGGGCCCTTTTCGGACCTCAGAGATCGACGGAGAGATGCCTTGTCGTATGTGGCCAGCGTATCGCACGGGAGCGGCGGCGCCGCGCGCTCTTGCTGCCGGGATCACAATCAGGCCTCGGTAGCAAATCATGGGAGCCCTGTGCACCCTCGCAATTCCGTCTCCAGCGTCGACTGGCGTCGATTAGCGTCTGGGAGTCGAGGAGATAGCGCCGACTCAGCGTCGGTTGGCGCCGACGAGCGTCGATTCAGCGTCGGCTGGCGTCGTTTCAGCGTCGATCGGCGTCGATTCGCAAGAGCCGACACGATGGTGTGGGAGGCTCCCAGGAGCTGCCGCCGACGTGGGCCGCCTTGGGCTCTCTGGGCCGTGCGACCTGGCCGGGTGCCGGCGCCGCACGTGCGCGAGGGGCCGCCTTCTCTCCGCGGGCGCCGGCCCGGCCTGGCCAGGCGTCGGCGGCAGGCGCCCCTCGGTCGCAGGGGGCCCGCCCGGTCGCCTCGCTCGTGCCTCCCCGGCCTTCATGGGCAGCCGTGGAGGCACCGTGGGCCCGGAGCATCTCGGCAGTCAGTGCGGCCGCGAGCGAGGGGGGGAGAAGGAGAAAAGGCCCCCTCAGGAGGTTCGGAGGCCCTCCCAGCCTTCCGAGAAGTTGTCTGAGCCCTCCTCGGGGACAGACAAAAACTTCTCGGCAGGCGCGAGGGCTTCTGAGGAGAAGTCCCGCCGCCTTCTGAGAAGGCCTTTTGCATCTCACTCCCCCCCAGCGCTCGCCGCCGAACAATGTCCGACTGGTAACAGATCGTATCGTACGCGCCGGGCGAGAAGCTGTGCGTGTTCCCTCGCCCGCCCCCCTCACCCCGCCAAGGCTCAGGTTCCCGGCCTGGCGGCCTGGCCGTTTCTTCCGCACTGGGGTGGGCGTGGTTATCCGTGCATCCTCGTTCAGCTTGTACGTTTCCCAACCTGATCGAGGTGCGGGGCGTTGGTACGCTCCTCCTTTCGGTAACATCGACACACACACAGACACCAACTGCTGCAAGCGCGGTGGCGATCAATTCCTCCGTGTCGCACCACCTCACGCGTCCGCAGGCTTGGCCGGGCGATTCGCTTGAGAAGCGTGAAACATGCCAACAGTGTCAGACAGATGGAGGGCGAGTGGTTCTCGAAGTGTTGATCCCGCCCTAGTGCCGCACAATCGTCTTACAAGGTCTCAAAGGCTACACATATTGAGACTCGTTGCTGTCAATTCGTTTCTCTCGCCTTAGCGCCGCGCACATTCGTCTTACAAGTTCTGGGCAGTTGCACGGATGATAGGTGGGTGGTTTTCAGATGTGGTTCTCGCCTCAGCGCGGCGCTCATGTGTCTTAAAGGTTGCCAGCGGCTACACGGATGGAGGGAGGGTGAATCTCAAAGTTTGGTTCTCGCCCGAGCGCCGTGCACGTTCGCCTTGAAAGCTTCCGGCAGCTACACGGATGGAGGCCGGCTCGTTCTCAAAATTTGGTGGTCCCCAAACGTGGTGGTGAGAACACCCGGTGGTGAGTTTTGGGCGATTTGGGCAATGTTTTTCGAGCGCTGGCTGGCCCAGGAAACGCAAAACCTCGTGGCGACCGCGTGTCCCCAAACCCGGTGGTGACCCAGAATTATTTTTGGGGGGGATTCGGGGTCACCACCGGGTGTCTCACCACCTGGTCTGGAGACCACCAAAAAAACGGGGGTTTCGCTCGAGACCTCGCAGCACACCGTGCCAGAAGTGCAGCGTCTGGCCGCAGGCACACGGACGGAGGGCGGCTCCCTGCCCAGGTGGCGTTCTCGCGCCATGTTCTCTTGGGCTTCAGTCGGGGGCGGCAAAGAGGGGGGCGACGACTACGGGGGGGGGTGGGGAGATCCTGGCGGGGGCCATGATATTTCCCCAGATTTCATGGCGCCTCTTCTGATTTTCATTGCGTCCCTGGCCCCCCCGCTGGGCCGCGCACGTGCCGCCGGTCATGGTTTGCACCCCCCCTCTTGGACAACCCCCCTCTTGGCCGCTCCCGATCCACAGGAGGAATGTTCGAGAATGGCAACAAAAATGGTCAGGGATGGCTGGGTAGGGTTGGAAGTTTTCTACTGTAGGAGGGCGTGCCCGAGCCTGACCATAAGTGCCCGGACCGTCCCTCCTGGCCGTTTTCTACAACTGACGAGGCCCGAGGGCTCAGCTGTGCGCGGCGGCTGCACGGGCGCAGGGCGGGTGCGGCGCCGCGCCGTGCACGGCTCGGCGGGCGGGGGGCGCCCTCCTCTCCGGCGGGGCTTGGCGCAGGCCGTGCCTCGCCGAGCCTCTCAGAGCGTGGATTACGGGCCGAGCGAAAGGGGAGGGGGATAGGGAAAGGGGGGATAGGGAAAGGGAAGGGATAGGGAAAGGGAGGGGGGATAGGGAAAGGGATAGGGAAAGGGGGGGGGATAGGGAAAGGGGGGGGATAGGGAAAAGGGGAGGGGGGATACGGTGAGCGGCTTGAACAATGGAACACCAACTTTTCGAAAGGGGCTCGGTCGTTCCTTAGGCTTGCATGCGCTCCGCTACCTTTCTGGTGCTAGGAAGGGGCTCGGCCGGTCCTTCGGACTTCGTAGACTTACTTTGAGAAAAGGGGCTTCGTTCCTTATTTATCGTTCCTTAGGTTAGGTCGATGACTGTAGGGAAAGGGGGGTTTACGAAGTCTGCTGCATGCAGCCGGTTTCGGCCCCGCCGCCGGGCCCACTCCTCGATACATGGGCGCCTCCCGGCGCCAGGAGGCGCCGGGGAAATCAGCTAAGTGAGCGGATTCTCAAACCCCCCCTTTGCTATCCCCCCCTTTCGCCCGACCCGAGAATTAGCTACCCCGCTTTCGCGTCCAGGCAAAACCAAGTCATGCTACGCGCCTCCTCATCATGCGGCCTGACCAGCGCAGGCCGCAGTTTGGCGTAGCTTGGTATCTCTTCTAAGCGAGGGTGGTCAAAAGCGAGGTAGGTTTGTTTGCGCCCTACGAGCGCGTTCAACTACGCGTAAAGTGCCTACTCGCAAACGCCCGAAGAAAAAACACATGTCTGATTCGACAGCACTTCTCGTAGATCCCCCAGCGGATCCACGCCATTTGCGAGGAGTCATTTTGCGAGTAGTGGAACGCGCTCGTCTAGTGTCTTTAGCGATCTCGTGGGCCGTGTTCGTTTCGATGTCGTTCTGCAGCAAAGGTGGAACGGAGACAGCGCGAGGGAACGCGAAAAGACGGAACGGAAACAGGAAGCACGGTTTGGGTCAAGCCCTCAAGGGCTCGGGCTTGGGAGTCCCTTTGAGCGAGCTGGCCTTTGGCCCTAGGCCAGAGGGGTTCCGAGCAGGGGGCGCTGGATTCTGGCACGTCGGAAACACGCTTGTGGAAAGGAGGGGGGTACCCAACATGCGCCGCCTCGTCACGCATACGTCTGGGAAGTGTCCTCGGCGCCAGAGGGGCCACTAGGGGAGCATCCACCATGGTGTCGGCGATCCTGTCACACAAACGCTGCGTGCGCAGAAGCAAAGCCCAACATGCGCCTGGCGCGTGCGCGTTTGGCACGCATTTGCACGTGTGCAGGCGGTAAGGGGGGCATCCAGCATGGGGTCGTCGAACTGCTGGCACGTAACAATACGTGAGCGGAGGGAGGGGGCATCCAACATGCGCCTCGTCACGCATGCGTTTGGGACGTGTTTTCGGCGCAAGAGGGGCCACCAGTGGAGCATCCAACATGGGGTCGCCGATCCCTTCACGCAAAAACTGCGTGCGCAGAGGGAGGGTACCCAACATGCGCCTGGCGCGTGCGCGGTTGGCACGTGTGTTCACGTGTACAGGCGGGAAGGGGGGCATCCAGCATGGGGTCTTCGGACTCCTCGTGCGTAACAGCACGTGAGCAGAAAGGGGGGGTACCCAACATGCGCCTGGCGCGTGCGCATTTGGCACATGTCTTCACTAGCGCAGTCGCGAAGCGGGGGCATCCAACATGTGGTCGTCGAATTCGTCAAGTGTAAAAGCACTTGCGCGGAGGGGGGGTACCGAACATGCGTCCGGCGCGTGCGCGTTTGGCACGCGTTTTCACGTGTGCAGGCGCGAAGGGGGGCATCCACCATGCGGAAGAAGAGGAAGATGATGATGATGATGAGGAGGAGGAGGAGGAGGAGGAGGAGGAGGAAAGGAGGAGGAGGCGGGAGGTGGAAGCGGATGAGGAGGACGCCCCCGGAGGCCCAAGGGGGGACAGCGAGTACTGCAGGGAAGCCCCCGGCGAAAGGCAGGGGCCACGCTGCAGAGCACGCCGTATCGCCTCTCACACGGTGCAGTGTCTCGAGACGTGGCGTGCCCCATCATTAGGGGAACAAAAAGTGGCATAAACATAAAAACGCGGAGGTCCGCGCGGATTTCTCGGATCGTTGGCGCGCGGAGCGCGCCAGGGGCGGCGCCGGAGGCGCCGCCGGGGGGCCCCAGCGCTGATCCGAGAAATCCGCGCGGACCTCCGCGTTTTTATGTTTTTTGTCATTGTTCGTTCCCCTACCCTCGTACAGCGTACTCGTCACAGTGCGGTTTGACGAGCCGTCTTGCCGGCTTCGCGGATCCCCCGAGGCCCCAGACAAGAAGCACGGGGCTGTCGCTCGAGGTGCGGTGGCGGGGGCTCACAGGGCGCTCGTCTTTCTCTAGGGCGTTTTTTTTGGGGGGTGGGGGGGGGGCGCTGCGCGCGGCAAGAAAGATGACCTGGCCTCGCAGAGACTGGTGAGGAAGGACTCGGGACGGGAGGGTGCACGGTTAAGCTGGGCGTGTCCCTGCACAGGAGGAATATCCAGAAATAGTTCAAGAATGGTCTCGGGGCGATGTTTCTACCGTTTTTGACTATTTGGGCGCACGTTTTGATTATTTCACGTTCATCCAAAACCTGCCTGTAGGAGAACATGCCCGACCTAGGCATAAGATCGAGGTCGGTGCGGGGAGGGCACCCTCATGTTCTTCGTGTCTGTCGGATGCTCTTGTGCACTCTGGGGGGGGGAATCCTCGAAGGATCTTGTGGATTAGGGGTGTTTTGGCAGGCGGAGGGTCTCGTGTTCTTGAGGCATGCTCTTCTTAGGAGAACGAACAATGACATAAAACACCGGGCCCACCGGCACTGCAGCATCGTGGATGCATCCTTCCTTTGGGCCACCCCCTGGGCGCGCGAGGAGCCCCGCGCGTCGCGCACCGCGCAGCCGGGGCCCCGGAGAGGCGCCCTGCTCCGAGGTGGCCTCCAGGGGGGCGCAAAGTGGACCGCGGCCCCGCGCACCGCGTGGCGCGATGCGCGAATCTAGGCGACCTCGATCTTGTCTAGGGGAACGAAAAGTGGCATAAACATATGAACGCGGAGGTCCGCGCGGATTTCTCGGATCGGCGCTGGACCTCCCACCTGGCGCGCGGAGTGCGCCAGGGGCGGCGCCGGAGGCGCCGCCAGGGGGCCCCAGCGCCGATCCGAGAAATCCGCGCGGACCTCCGAGTTTTTATGTTTATGTCATTGTCCGTTCCCCTATTGTCGCCGGCGAGCGAGGGTGGGAAATGATAAGGAGAAGGCCTTCTCAGAGGGCGGCGGGTCTTCTCAGAAGCCCTCGCGCCTTCTGAGAACCTTTCTGCGTCTTCGGGGAAGGCTGCGAAGCTTGTTTCAGAAGGCCGGGGGACTTCCGAGCCTTCTGGGAAGGCCCGCCCCTTCTCACTTCCGAGGGGAACAAAAGTGGCATAAACATAAAAACTCGGAGGTCCGCGCGGATTTCTCGGATCGGCGCTGGGGCCCCCGGCGGCGCCTCCGGCACCGCCCCTGGCGCGCTCCGCGCGCCAGGGAGGGGGGTCCAGCGCCGATCCGAGAAATCCGTGCGGACCTCCGAGTTTTTATGTTTATGTTACCTTTTGTTCCCTAACTTCCCCCCCTCGCTCGCCGCCGATACAGCCGGCCATCTGGTTAGGACGTCTCTTCTCGGACAGCTGTGCCAACGTTCCCCAACCAACCTGCTGGAAGGCGGGCCCAGTTTCTTGGGCACGTTCGCCCCGCCAGCGTCAACACGAACATTTTGGCCCAGTCTTGTTTTAAGAAGCTTCCGGAAAGCTGGCCCAGGTTTCTCAAATTTTGATCCGCTGTATACTCCGTCCGTCCCTGAGAAAGACAAGTATCGTGTTGGGAGGGAAGATACAGGGCACGACCGTTCAATAGACTCACCTTCAACATACGCGGTAGTTTTTGCTGATATGAGCATTTCTCCCAGCCCCATCCTCCCAGTTCGATGATTGTCTTTCTGGGTCCTCCTCCGCGTCCGCCTCCGTTATCCTCCGCCCTCCCGCATCCTCGTGCGCCCCGGGTTTGGACCACGGTCGCAGGGCAGCCTTGCGACGAACATGAAAGTTGTCGGAACGCTCGGCCAGGCGCGCCGTGCACGCTGTCCTCGCTCGCTTCTCCCATCTCCTGCTCCCCCGAAGCACTTCTGCCATATAGCAACAGTACAGAACGAATCATAGCTCATACGCACAAGCTCATCCTCGCGCGCCCCTCTCCCTCGCCTCCGCTCGTCCTCCGCCTCCTCCTCCTCCTCCTCCTCCTCCTCCTCCTCCTTTTCCTCCTCCTCCGCCTCCGCCTCCGCCTTTGCCTCCGCCTCCGCCTCCTCCTCCGCCTCCGCCTCCTCCTCCTCCTCCTCCTCCTCGGCCTCGCGCCTGCCCAGCACGAACGTCGTGCCCGGGCCGAAGCCGGTGGCGCTGGCGACCTACACGCAGAGCGGGCTGCCCTGCTTCCGCAAGCAGTCGTTTCACCTGCCGCAGCCTCGGCGGCTGGGAGGGGAGGGGGAACGGGGGATGGAGGGAGATAGGGAGGGAGGGAGGGCGGGAGGGAGGGAGGAGTGAGGAGGAGGAGGAGGAGGAGGAGGAGGAGGAGGAGGAGGAGGAGGAGGAGGAGGAGGAGGAGTTGGAGACGGAGTCGGAGGACGGAGGACGGAGGACGGAGGACAAAGGCGGAGGACGGAGGAGGAGGAGGAGGATGAGGAGGAGGAGGAGGAGGAGGAGACGAGGCGGAGGGAGGAGGAGGAGGAGGCGGAGGAGAAATGAGAAACATGAGGGGAAAAGGGAGAGGGAGGAGGTTGAGGAGAAGGAGGAAGGAGAGGGTTTGCAGTGCCTAACTGTTTCCAGGTCTCCACCTGTCTTTGAATGTTTCGGCGGTTCTTGGAGGCTTCCGGGTTCCAAAGTATTGATGGAGCCCAAGAGGGACGTGGGAGAAGAAGGGACGGAGAAGGAATGAGCAGTGGGAGAGTGGAGGGGGATGATCAGGAGGCTCAGCATGGTACGGGAGGAGGAGGAGGATGAGGAGGATGGGCGAGGTAGGAAGGAGCGAGGGATGGAAAGGATGAGGCGAAGCAGCAGCAGCAGCGGCAGCACAGGTTGGAGGAGCAGAGGAGGAGGAGGACGAGGAGGAGGAGGAGGAGGAGGAGCACACGTCGCTGTGGAGGGGGAGGGAGAGGATGGAGGAAAAGGCGGAACCAGGAAGATAAGGAAGATAAGGGCGGGGGGGGAACATGATGATAACTACTAAGAACAAGAATAACACTAATATCAATGCTGAAACTAGTTTTATCCATATGAGTTGTAATACTCTTACTTATACGAATAACATTCGGAATCATTACGCTCTAGTAACAGTTAAAGTAATAGTAACAGTCGTAATGATAGGCATGCGTAGGTAAATTCATAATTGAAGACCCTTGCAGACTATTGTCCTATTCATGATCATGATACATCGCAAGATGTAATAATGCTACGATAACGGGTAAAAGTCGCATTAACATGTGTAGTAATCATATTGGTCATACGAATACGGGTAGTAATCATACTACCCACCAACATAAGGTAATGGGAAGCGAGAAAGGCTCTCGAGGCTCGATGCTTCGAGGTCTTCGGACGTTTTCGTCGGCTCTCGGCGGTTCTCCAGCCCCGAGGCAAGGTCCAGCGGCTGCGCCTCGCTGCCTTTCTCGTGTTGCACGGCGGGCGTTGTTGCCTGGCTCTGGGCTTAAGTCGGGGGCCTGCCCCGCTACAGGAGGAACATGCAAGAATGAACCAAATATAGTCGGGCGACGATTTGTGTAAACAATGTTTTGACCATGTTTGAACATTTGTTGAATAATTTAAACTTGTCATCCAACATCCCCCCCTGTAGGGGGACATGCCCGACCTAGCCTTGGGCCCCGGGACCCTCGTAGGTCGATGCAACTCGGAAGCTGGTGTAGACAGATGAGTTCTAGAGCTCTGGTCGTGTTTTTGTTGGCGATGCTGCGTTTTCTCGCGACGTCGGATCTCTGGGTCCTCTCGCAGTCCAGCCGGCGAGACGAGAAGCGGAACATTCACCACCCACAGAAGGCCACCTTCAGCGAGGAGGTCCACGATGTCCCCGAGGCCCCCGTGCTGGAGATGTCTAAGATGTTTCTACTGGGGGGACAGAAAGCAGCGGGGCCACAGCGCCGGGAGGACCTTGCATGGCTCCTCACGGTGGTGCCGATTCTCTTTGATCCTGTTCCGCAGCGGATGCTCTACGCGGAACTCGTCCACGTCTGAGCGCTCTCCCCCCCTCCTCCCCCCACGCGGCCGCCCTCGTCTTTTTTACTTTCTCTTGCACGCGGCACAATGCGCCTTTCGGTCGCCCCGATTAGCCACACGCTGGAGCAGATCGCCTCTGAGACATCCTCACAAAACCGGCCCCGGGGGCGGTGCCCAGAGGAGCCCAGAGCGGCCTCCGGCACCGTTTCCGGACAGATCTGGTGGATCCGCCGACGAATCCCAAACCGGCGCCCTCGCTTGAGACATCCTCACAAAACCGGCCCCGGGGGAGGTGCCCAGAGGAGCCCAGAGCGGCCTCCGGCACCGTTTCCAGACAGATCCAGTGGATCCGGTGGAACCGCCGACGAATCCCAACCCGGCGCCCTCGCTTGAGACATCCTCACAAAACCGGCCCCGGGGGAGGTGCCCAGAGGAGCCCAGAGCGGCCTCCGGCACCGTTTCCGGACAGATCCGCTGGATCCGCCGACGAATCCCAAACCGGCGCCCTCGCTTGAGACATCCTCACAAAACCGGCCCCGGGGGAGGTGCCCAGAGGAGCCCAGAGCGGCCTCCGGCACCGTTTCCGGACAGATCCGGTGGATCCGGTGACGAATCCCAAACCGGCGCCCTCGCTTGAGACATCCTCACAAAACCGGCCCCGGGGGAGGTGCCCAGAGGAGCCCAGAGCGGCCTCCGGCACCGTTTCCGGACAGATCCGGTGGATCCGGTGACGAATCCCAAACCGGCGCCCTCGCTTGAGACATCCTCACAAAACCGGCCCCGGGGGAGGTGCCCAGAGGAGCCCAGAGCGGCCTCCGGCACCGTTTCCGGACAGATCCGCTGGATCCGGTGACGAATCCCAAACCGGCGCCCTCGCTTGAGACATCCTCACAAAACCGGCCCCGGGGGAGGTGCCCAGAGGAGCCCAGAGCGGCCTCCGGCACCGTTTCCGGACAGAGATCCGGTGGATCCGGTGGATCCGCCGACGAATCCCAAACCGGCGCCCTCGCTTGAGACATCCTCACAAAACCGGCCCCGGGGGAGGTGCCCAGAGGAGCCCAGAGCGGCCTCCGGCACCGTTTCCGGACAGATCCGGTGGATCCGGTGACGAATCCCAAACCGGCGCCCTCGCTTGAGACATCCTCACAAAACCGGCCCCGGGGGAGGTGCCCAGAGGAGCCCAGAGCGGCCTCCGGCACCGTTTCCGGACAGATCCGGTGGATCCGGTGACGAATCCCAAACCGGCGCCCTCGCTTGAGACATCCTCACAAAACCGGCCCCGGGGGAGGTGCCCAGAGGAGCCCAGAGCGGCCTCCGGCACCGTTTCCGGACAGATCCGGTGGATCCGGATCCGCCGACGAATCCCAAACCGGCGCCCTCGCTTGAGACATCCTCACAAAACCGGCCCCGGGGGAGGTGCCCAGAGGAGCCCAGAGCGGCCTCCGGCACCGTTTCCGGACAGATCCGGTGGATCCGCCGACGAATCCCAAACCGGCGCCCTCGCTTGAGACATCCTCACAAAACCGGCCCCGGGGGAGGTGCCCAGAGGAGCCCAGAGCGGCCTCCGGCACCGTTTCCGGACAGATCCGTGGATCCGCCGACGAATCCCAAACCGGCGCCCTCGCTTGAGACATCCTCACAAAACCGGCCCCGGGGGAGGTGCCCAGAGGAGCCCAGAGCGGCCTCCGGCACCGTTTCCGGACAGATCCCTGGATGTGGATCCGCCGACGAATCCCAAACCGGCGCCCTCGCCCTTGAGACATCCGCTGGAGACGAATCCCAAACCGGCGCCCTCGCTTGAGACATCCTCACAAAACCGGGGGAGGTGCCCAGAGGAGCCCAGAGCGGCCTCCGGCACTCGTTTCCGGACAGATTTGGATCCGGATCCGGGATCCGCCGACGAATCCCAAACCGGCCCCGGGGGAGGTGCCCAGAGGAGCCCAGAGCGGCCTCCGGCACCGTTTCCGGACAGATCCGGTGGATCCGCCGACGAATCCCAAACCGGCGCCCTCGCTTGAGACATCCTCACAAAACCGGCCCCGGGGGAGGTGCCCAGAGGAGCCCAGAGCGGCCTCCGGCACCGTTTCCGGACAGATCCGGACAGATCCGGTGGATCCGCGCCCCGGGGGAGGTGCCCAGAGGAGGAATGAGGAGGAAGGAGGAGGAGGAGGAGGAGGAGGAGGAGGAGGAGGAGGAGGAGGAGGAGAAGATGATGGAGCTGTGGGGTGGAGGAGGACAGACGGAGGCAAGAGAAGGATGGAGGAGGAGGAGGAGGAGGAGGAGGAGGAGGAGGAACCTCATCCTCACCCTCGCCAACAAGCGCACGCACCTTCTTCTATATACAGAAACTCCCGATCAACCGCAGAGCGGCCGGCTAGTAATCCTGGTGTCCCCCTTGCCTCAACAACCGAACGGACCTCATTGTGCCTTCCTCCGTCGGAGGCGGGCTGAAGGTAAGTCTACGCTGACCGCCTTCCCACCCCTAGCTTCTCCTCAACTCTTTGGCATAAGGGAACGGGTCCAGAGGGAAATCGGATTCGTTGTTTGACCGTCCCAGGGCCCGTTAAGGGCCTCGGGTGCCGCAAACAGCGAATAACCCCAGGACCCGCTTCCTTCATAGCGGTTGCTTTCAGAAAAATGCAGGACCCAGAAACGTCACAAGTGGAGCCCTAGGCCACGTCTGTCCACTGCATGTTTCGAGCCAAGCCAGATCGATCTGTGATTGTTCCAGGACCAGAAGCCCCGGCGAAAATGCCCGTTGTGAAAAAGTTGCAACGTTTGGATCTCTCGGGGGCGGCCACGAGGGGGGTGATGATTAGGGGGCGGTGGATATCATGGCGTGGGCCATGATATCTCCTCAGAGTTCATGGCGCCTCCTGTCATTTCATAACGGCCCGGGACCCCCCAACAGGGCCGCGCACAAGCTGCCGACCATGATTTGCGCCCCCCTCTCTTGGACGCCCACTCTTGGACGCCCCCCTCTTGGACGCCCTCCTCTTGGACGACCCCCTTCTTGGACGCCTCCCTCTTGGATGCCCCCCTCTTGGACGCCCCCCCTCTTGGACGCCCTCCTCTTGGACGCCCCCCTCTTGGACGCCCCCCTCTTGGACGCCCCCCTCTTGGACGCCCCTTTTCTTGGACGCCCCTTTCTTCTTGGACGTCCCCCTCTTGACCACGCCCGGATCTCGGGGGTCGCTGCCACGCTCCCGCCTTCACCTCTCCTCACCGCTTCCGAGCGGCCTTGGCTGCCCCACTGGCTGGCGCTGCTCTCCCTCCTGATCTTCGGGGCTTGAGAGAGGGGGGTCGATGCAAATGGGGGTCAGTCGTAGCGCCGGATCTTGCACGATCCTGCAGGGCCAGGGTTACATTGACCTAGGCTTGGGTGCAGGATCCTGCATGATCTTGCAAGGCCTGACTGACCTGTGACTGGATTGACCCGGGTCAGAAGATCCCCGAGAGTTGTCTCCTGACGGTCCTGGGGCCCGTTGAGGGATCCCGGGAGCCCGAGAACAGTGAAAAATTTCAGGTCGGAGGAGGAAAAGGTACCCATATCTACCCTTCGCTCGTTTCCCCCTTCTGGACCTCCTCGGAGGCCCTCGTTGCCACCTCTGGATTCGCTTCGAAATCCTGGTCAGAACGCACCCCGGGAACGGTCTGGGAAGTAGCGGTATCAGTATACCTGTTGGTTTCCCCATCAGGGCCCGCTTCCCTCGTGACCCGAGTCCTTCATGGCGGCTTGGTAAGGCTTCGGGCTGCGCGCACGCAGCCCCCGCAGGCAGTCGTGGTTGGTTTCCACAGACCCCCCCTCCTCCTCCTCCTCCTCCTCCTCCTCCTCCTCCTTCTCCTCTTCCGCCCCCTCCTCCTCCTTCTCCTCCTCCTCCTCCTCCTCCTTCGCCTCCTCCTCCTCCTCCTCCTAAGAACAGCTCGTGGTAGGATTATAGGAATGCCGGGACGGTCGGTCCCTGCTCGACACATGCAGCCAACAAGTGTTAGAAACATCGCCTCCGCAGTTTTGCATAGAAAGAACTACTCGCCTACACATTCCTCCCGACTCCTGCAGAGGGACCTGCCCGACTTACCTTCAGCCCTGCCCGCCCTTCTCCGCGGGCGCGCGCGGCTCCGCAGCGCCGCCGAGGACCCCGCGGGAGGGCCAGGCCGCCGAGTACCAGCAGTGCTTCGGCGAGCCCAGCTCCGCTGGGAGACAGCCTTTTGTTGCATCGTCGGGAGCCTTTTTGGGCCTCCTGGAGAGTCAGGAGGGAAAGAAACACACAGACACAATGAATCGTCGATTCCCCAGAAAATATGGGAAACTATGGGAAGTGGGGGGAAGACAAAAACCCAGAACATATGGGAAAATATGGGGGATATGTTTTATGTGTGTATTTATTTGTGTGTCCCAGGGCCCCTTCATAGATGGGGTCGGAGTAGATGGGGTCGGAGGATCGCTCCGCATCGCCGATGCGGCTCGATGTTGAGCCCGACTTTCTCCACGCCGACGGCGCCGCTGCGTCGCCGACGTCGCCAATGCATCGCCAATGCATCGCCAATGCATCGCCGATGCATTCGCGATGCATCGCCGATGTATCGGCGATGCGGCGAGATCCTCTGTCCCCATCTACTCGGACCCCGTCCAGGAGGCCTCTAGCCTTGAGACGGGGGTCCATGCAAACGGTGGTCAGCCAGAGCGCCCGATCTTGCAGGATCCTGCACGGCCAGGGTCGCAGTGACCCCGGCTTGGGTGCAGGATCCTTCAGGATCTTTCGCATTGACCCGGGCTTGGGTGCAGGATCCTGCAGGATCCTGGCTGACCCGGGTCTGGATTCGACTACATGTAAGAGGGACCCTTCGCCAGAGTGACCTTTGGTGTGGGCTCATCGGGCCCCCCCCTGATCGCCGAGCACGATGCGATCTAAGCGGCCCACGCCCTTGGGTTTGGCTCCCTCGCGCCCCCCAAAAGCTGCGCACCAGAGGTCACTCTTACCCGAGGGCCACTCTTACAGTCGGGGCCCTGAAGAAGGAACCCTTTTCGTTGGGGAGGGGCTCCGCGTTCCTTACGTGTGTCACAGCTTGCCTCAGGCTTCCCTTCTGTTTTCGACAGGACATCGAAGGTTCACTTCTGGAAAAAAGGGGCCTCGTTCCTCATTCAGGGCTCCTTGGGTCCACGCCCCGACTGTACGTCCAGCCGAGAGATCCCCGACGTCGGCGGCCGCGGGCCCTCGAGACCCGAGGACCCGCCGTCTCCACTTCGGCCCGGAGGCCGGCCTCCGGGGCCCGTGGTCGGGCGCCCCGTGGGCCATCCGAGAGTCTCCGAGCGCGCTCCGCGGCTGGCGGAGCGCCTGCTCGCAGGCGTCCGAGTGCGCACCGGGCCAGCCACAACTGGGGGAGCTGTGGTCCTTACCCCCCCTGGGGGGACCCATCGATGTCGACACCCCTCTCGAGAGATCGTCGAGGCGACGGGTTCCCCCAGGGGGGTAAGGACCACAGCTCCCCCAGTTATGGCTGGTCGGCACACGTGCCTTCTGGTATGTGATGAGCCGCGAACCCCCCCTTCTCGGGGGCGGCGAAGAGGGGGGGGGGGATGACTAGGGGGGGGGATAGCATGGCGGGGGCCATGATGTTTCCTCAGATCTCATGGCGCCTCTTCTTGTTCCGTTACATCCCTGGCCCCCCCATGGGCCGATCACATGCCGCCGGTCATGATTTGCACCCCCCCCCCATCTTGGACACCCCCCTCTTGGCCGCTCCCGACCTTCGGCGGATCCAGGCCATGTGCCAGTAGTTACTTTGCGAGTAGTGGGACGCGCTCGTCTAAGAATAGATTCGGGATGGAAAACCATCCCCGGGGGATGGGTCGGGACCGCTGGAGCAGCGGATTGAAAAATCAGATCGGGGAGCCCAACTCCACCGAAACAGGTCTTGTCAACAAGAACGCACAGACATCGTCGCTTCCCAGGAAAAGATTGGGAATACGGGCCGTGGTGGGGAAGGGACGAAACTCGAGGGAATATGAGCAGACATGGGGGATCCTGGGAGCTGTGTCTATCCACTCGTGCGTCCCTGGGCCCCTCTGCTTTGGGTCGGCGGCCGCAGGGGGCCCCAGCGGCGCTCGGGCTGCGGTGGGGCACACCGGGCAGCAAGCGGAGGCACGAGAGGCCGGGCGAGGCGCGCGCGGGGCTCGGAGAGGGGGCCGGAGGACCACGACGACGACGACGACGACGACGACGACGACGACGACGACGACGACGACGACGACGACGACGACGACGACGAGGTCGACGACGGCGAGGTCGACGAGCCACGCTCAGACCAGGCCTCTGCCGAGGCCCTCGCCCGCCCCCCAGGGCGGATTGCCAACACCAGGCCCGTGCGCACAGCGCACCACACCCGTCGGCGTCGCCGAGGGGGGGAGGCGGCGGAGGACTCAATCGGAGGTTGATGGACCTCCTACCCTGTCACGTCGATTGGCGAATTAGCCGTTCTTGTTTCGCGAGAGGGCGTCGCGGGCGCCATTGTTGCGGGTCCAGGTTTTTTTGGTTTCGGTCATAGGCCGTTTTCACTAGACAGGGTGGTTTTCTAAAGGGAGGTTTGTCCACCGCCGATTCACGGTATCCTAGGTGTCCGAAGTATCACCACCAACACCAACATTTAGGATCATCACCCCCCAATGGAGGCAACCCCCTGCGTTGGTGGTGGTGCCCATTCCCAGGCCTCCAAGCCCCCTTCTCCATCCGCCTCCTCCTCGTCTTCACTTTGGGAACGCCAGGCGGCCTCCTCGTCACACAGCTTGGCAGGGCGCAGGCGCAGGAACAGCGCGCTCCCGTCGTCTGGTGCCACCCCTTGCTCAACGGAGGACAAGACACCTGGACTCTATAATTTGCGTTGACAAAACGGCCCGGGGCTTTTACTATACAGCCTTGCCCTCTTCGATTCCTTCTTTGGGCGCGTTTCCGAAACAATTTTGCGTCTCGGGGTGATTATTATGAGGGTGGATCCTCTGCTCTCTAAGGATGTCAGAGGAAAGCGAGTTGAGGCAACGGCAGTGGGCCTTTGGGAGGCGGGGGGCCCTCGTCGCCACCGGCTGGACGCAGCTCGGGGACCGGTGCGTTTGGACCCCGTGGGGTCCGGGGACCAGCTGTCCCAGCTCAGCTGCCGCCTCTGCTCTCTACCGTTCGGGGTGGGAATTAAAAGGATGGAATAAGGGAAAAATAAGAACTCAAGCGCTCGGCGGTCCGCGCGGATCTCTTGGATGTGCGCTGGGCCTCCCTGAGGGCGGCGCCGTCACTTGTACGCTCCGCGCGCCATGGAGGGGGGTCTTGCGCCGAGCCAGGAAATCCGCGCGGACTTCAAGAAGTTTATGCGACTGCGGCGGCGGAGGATGAGGAGGAGGTGGAGGAGGACCAGTGTAAATCCAAGAGTCATCAACGATATTGGAATAAGCCCTCCCTCCAAGTCCCCTCTTCATAGGCCCATACAACGGTTCATTTCCACTGATTGAACAACCTCGTTGGAAGACACCCGTTTGAAGACACTGGCCAAAACATTGTTTCCGATATTCCAACGCCACGGATCAACCTGACGGTTGCGTCCTGAGGATCCTGAATCGTGCCAGAACGTCATTCTTGGGACTTCAGCACGGCGAAGCAACGTGACTGTTGCAGCCTCTTAGTCCTGAGTCCTTCCAGAGCACCACGTCTGGTACGTTGATCATGGGGTCCCGTGAAACTCTTGCAAAGTTAAAAACGAATGTGCGCGGCGCTAAGGCGAGAACCACATTTTGAGAAAAAAGGAACAGCCCACACTCCATGAAAGTCATGCAGATGTTTGAAGCGAAGGTGCGCGGCGCGAAGGTGGGAGCCACATTTTGAAAAGGAACCGGCCTCCATCCGTGAAGCTCTTGCACTTCTGAATTACAACAGTCTGCGCGGCGCTAAGGCCAGAGCCACATTTTGAAACCGGGTCGTTTTCAATGCGTGAAAATCTTGCAGATGTGCATGACGAATGCATGCGGCGCTAAGGCGAGAGCCGCATTTTGAAAACCACCCGCCCTCCATTTGTCAAGATGTTGCCAATTTTCTTAAGCTTCAGAGTCATAAATGGCGAGGAAGTCTCAGGCGAAACGCCCGGCCCGCCCTACAAACTGGTTTCGGGGTGCGACAGGGGGAAGTGATTGATAAGGAAAAGGAATGGAGGAGGAGGAGGTGGTGGAGAGGAGGGATGGAATGGGATGGGATGGGATGGGAGGGAGAAGGCAGCGGAGGAGGAGCAGGAGGAGAAGGAGGAGAGCCGTCGGCGCTGACCCCCCCCCCGCGAAGTGCCACTAATTAGCGAGTTTCCGCTGGACCCCTGTGCCCCTGGAGGGCCAGAGGCGGCCAGGGGCTATTAGTGTGAACAGCATGCTGTACGGCGGAGTGCGGCCCCCTGCCGAGAGTGACCCTAAGGACGTGCCCAAACTACTCGCGACAGTAAAATCACAGGCAGACTGCCACATTGAGGATACAAGAGCCCCTAACCCTAATAACACGATGAAGACGTGGCCTCAATGAGGTCCCCGTCTTCGCATCAGGGATGATAAGCATGGGCGGTTTGGTCTGATACATCTGCAGAACAGAGCCCCTATCCCTAATGTGTTCGGCCCTCCTAACTTAGGCCCTCCCATATGTTTAGGGGTCTTTGTGTTGGTAAATCATTGCCGCTTGAGTTCAATCGCCACCCCAAAGGGTGAGCATAAACGGGGGCAGCCCCGCAGAACTTGCCAAGGGCTTGTGCCGCCCATGCGGCGCGTCGTGGGTTTCGCCAATCAGTGTCATCCATGGGTTGCGCAAGAGGCTTCGCGATCCATGTGTTGCGCCACCCACGAGTTGCCCCAATGGATGCCATCCATGAGTTGCGCAATTGGTTGCGACATTCGTTGTGCGATCCGGGCGCGCCGTTGAACCATGGAGTGTACCATCCCTGGGTTACGCCACAGGTTGCGCGATCCATGGGTTGCGCCATGCGTCGGTTCGGCCCTCCGTGTGTTGCGCAAGAGTTTGCGCATCTAACGGCCACTAATACAAGGGCCTGCTAGTTGCGTCAAGGGTTGCGCACTTACTCTCGGCGGCCCGCGATAAAACGGCCTGATATTGGATGCGTGAAAGGATGAGCTCTAGGCGGCCGGAAATACAACGGGTTGCTGTTGGTTGCGCAGTAGGTTACGCATTCGGCGGCCGCCAACGCCACGGACTGCGTTTAGTTGTGCCATATGTTGCGCATCGGAGGCCGCTAGTATGACAGCGTACCATCGGCTGCGCCCTAGGCTGCGCGATAGTAACAATGCTGGTGATTGGTTGTGCTATAGGTCGCGCACTTGGCGGCCGGAATCGTGCCACAGGTTGTTGACGAAGCAATGGCCTGCTATGGATTGCGCCACATTTCGCACTCGGCGGCCGAGAATAACACGACCAGCTGTTGATTGCGCCGCAGATTAAACTTCAGACGACCGGAAAACGGCCTGCTGTCGATTGCACAGTAGGTTCCGCCCTCGGCGGCCCATAATACAACGGCCTGCTTTCGGTTGCGCTACAGGCTGCGCGCTCGGAGGCCTCGATTCAACCACTTGCTATCGGCTGCGCCATCGGTTGTGCAGTTGGCGCGGCCGCTGGTGCAACGGCCGGCCAGAGGTTGCGCCATAGGAAGCGCACTCGGCTGCGATACGATGGCCGCGAGCAGGTGCGACGAGTCCAGCCCACTCCAGCCGTCAGTCAGTTCACCCTCCGAAAATCAAGTTCAATCGATGACTCGCCTCCCATTGTGCTGCCACCCATTAGCTGGCAGCACAATGGGAGGCGAGTCATCGATTGGGCTTCGCGTGAAACGCCTTCGCGCGGCGGGCACCGCGCCGAGCTCGCAGCGGGTCGACCTGCGGGAGCCGCCCGTGCGCGCCCGGCGGGGGGGAGGTGGTGCGAAAGTTTCCTTTTCTCCTCCTCCTCCTCCTCCTCCTCCTCCTCCTCCTCCCCCTCCTCCTCCTCCTCCTCCTCCTCCTCCTCCTCCTCCTCCTCCTCCTCCTCCTCCTAAGGAGAAGGAGATGCCGGAACACGGCGATTACAAGACGTGCAAGAACATGGGAGCGCAGAAGACCCAGTACCTGAAGGCGCTTAACTTTGTTTTCAAGTGGAGCGACAACATACAGTTGTAAAATGTGCGCAAGAGGAGCACAGGCTGGGACATGGACAAGGTGTGCGCCTGCTCGTGCGGGCTAGCCTTCCCCAGCGCCCCAGCGCTACCTCACGGGGCGACTAGTGGAAGTTCTGGTGCAAAGTGGATTGGAAGGCGCTGGTGACTGCACAGCAGAGCTTCCCCCAGGACAAGCTTATGAAAACATGTGTGGGCAAGATGAAGAAATACTTCCACGAGGACTACGAGAAGTGGCCCGAGATCGGCTGCAAGTCGCGGTTTCACCCGCACCGCAATGGCCCATCGATGGTGGTGGAGTTTATCGTTAGTGGCAAATGGGAGGCGCTTGCAGCTGAGAGGCTTCCGGAGACGATCGACGACGCCATCAGAGAGCACCACCACAAGTTACTTCACACAGCCCAGCAGCTGAACCCAGAGGACTTGTATGAGATGATCCCACCTGCCTTCCCGATGACGCACCAAGTACAGGGCTGCGTATTCATTGCAAAGTACCCAGTGGACGCGTGACAGGCAGCAGGGAGGAAGTATTTCTCGACGCGCAGATAGTGCGAGCTTGCGATGCGGATCGCGAAGAACGACCTGGAGAACCTGCGCAGCGTCATGGAGGTATCCACGAGGGAGTTGAGGAACGCCGAGAAGCTCGAGCAGAAGGAGTTAGGGAGGCTCAAGCGACGTCAGGAGCTCCGCGACAGCACGGGCAACCCGCTGGACGGCACCGAGACTCTCGAGATGCACGCCGAGCCAGGTGAAGCGGCTAGCTCCAGCGGCCGCGCGTGAGAGCGCCCGCAGGCGCACGCGGCTGCGACAGGCGAGCTCGGAGGGACCGACAAGCGAGGGAGTCTCAGAGCGCGGACCCTGATGGGTGAGCCGCGGCGGCCGACGCGCAGCCAGGAGGAGCATTGGCGACGGCATCTCGGAGTGCAACCCAGGCGGGCAGGACGGCGCGGCCCCGGCCGCGACAGGCGAGCTCGGATAAATGTCTTTGTATTTTTCTGGAGCGCTGACAGGTACACAGTCAGATGTACACCACCACTGGGACGACGAGTGGAAAACGAGGGCCCCACAGAGACCACTAAAGAGTTCTCCTTAAGGGCCTCTCCTCCTGCGAAACGACAGTAGGACGCGACCAGCATCGCATTTATGGAGGCCTCTCAAGCGCCGCGACGGTAATAGCATTGCTCGCCCCTTATGTACTTAAACGCCGAGTGAGGGGGCATTTCAGAGGTGCACTTTGAGTACTACAGAGCATTTAGACACAGAGTGCTGCAGCACAGGGCTTGCGCCAGACACTGCAGCGCATGCATCGGCCATCGACCTGCACGCGCAGGAAGCGAAGTGAGCCTAGAGAGGGAGGGGCTCTGTTCGTAGCGCGGGCACAGCAGAACGCAGGTAGAATATCAATTGGGCCCCCCAGCAAAAGATTGGCGCGTAGGGGCCTCCTGCTTTCTCTCCCTCCCACTTTCTCCCCTGCGTCGCTGAGTGAGGTCGCGTCGTCGTCATCCCCCTGCTTGGGAGCTCTGCTCGCCCAGCGCGCCCCTCATGGAATGGGCGCGCGAGAGGGCCAACAGCCGCTCCCCCCGCATTGACCCGTAGGGACGGACTCGCACTCACGAGGTAGCGAGCCTCTCTTACGGGGCCACCTCGGAGTTCGCCCGTTTGAGAATCGGGGCGTGCCCCCTGCCGGCCGCATGTCTGAGTCTGCGGCGTAGTACAATCGCAGGGGATTTTGCAAGTCGTACCCCGCAGCTCCTTTGTGGGCGTTTCGACGTTGACCCCCTTATGCGGATGTCCTGTCCTGTCCTGTCCTGTCCTGTCCTGTCCTGTCTTGTCCTCCTCCTCCTGCTGCGTCCTGGAGGTATTGTCTTCGTTTGGGCTTCAGCTGGCAGAGGCCCAGCTGTTGGGGTTCAGAGCCCTGGAGGCCAGGGCAGAGACCCAAGCCCGCAGGGCCCGTGGTGTTTCGGGCCATGAGGATCCCCTCGACCTCTCTAGCGTGGTCCCTGGCGCGGCAATGCCTGGCTGGGGCTGAGTCTGGGAGGCTTGGGGGGTCCCAGGGTCGAATTCGTGTGCAGGACCCTTTTTGGGTCGAGTCTAGCCTCCTCCTCCTCCTCCTCCTCCTCCTCCTCCTCCTCCTCCTCCTCCTCCTCCTCCTCCTCCTCCTCCTCCTCCCCCTTGTGCACGTGACCGAGATGAGGGCTTCATGCGTCCTAGATGGGGTCCGAGTAGATGGGGACGGAGGGTCGCGCCACGTCGCCGGTGCATCGACGATGGGGTTCGATGTGGAGCCCGTGTTTCGCCGCGCCCATGGCGCCAATGCGTCGCCGACGTCGCCGGCGCATTGCCGACGCATCGGAGATGCATCGGCGATGCATTGGCGATGCGGCGCGATCCGTCGACCCCATCTATCGGGTCCCATTTCAGGAGGCCTCTGTGGGGAGGGAGGCGGGCGGGGCACTGGATGCGCGGGAGCCGCCGCGCGCTTGGGCGTTGCTTGCGGTCCGGCCGATGCAGAAGATCGAGGTCGGTTCGGGGAAGGTGCCTTCAGGTGTTTCGTGATTGCGGGATGTGCTTGTGCATCCCGGGGGGGGTGGGAGGGTGCCCTTGGATGTTCTTGAAGGATGTTCTTCTGTCACAGGTCCGACCGTACTCGGAGGGAAGACAAATGCGCGTCTCGGGCCCTTGAGGCCCCATTATTGGGCGCAAACATATAAGGATCCTCATGAGCTCGTTTTCTGCAGCCCTCGCTGCCCCCCCACGTTTGTCGCCCCCTCATTACGCGGGAGCCAGGGCTCATTTCGACTCCTCCGATTCGATTTGATTTCGACGGTTTCCGATTTCCGATCCGGTGTTCAGGGAGGCCTTACTAGCCTGCCGGTTTCCGCCGATCCGACGTTTCCCGACTTGGTTGCCGACTTCCGCCGGTCCGATTCGTTCCGATCGCCGATCCGACTTGGCGACTCGATTCTGGGCTCTTCTGGGGGAGGGGGGGCCGGATGCGCGTGGGCGGCCGCGCGCTCTACAGACCGCTGACGAGCCTGTTCAACACCTTCAGCTGCGAGGACATGAACCCCGCGTTCTACAGCGTCCTGTGGCCGCAGCAGGCGCGGCGCGTACGGCCCGTGGCGCCGCAGGGAGTCATGTGTCTCGGGATCTGGTTTTCATCTTGCTATCGTAAGGAACTTTCGGGTCGCGTGTAGCTCCGCCGGCGCTGGCCCACCAGGCCTGGGAGCGACATCAAGGGCGCCCTCGAGGGCGCGAAGCTCTTCGCGCTTCGCGGTTTGGCTCTCCGATTCCTCCTCATCCTCCTCTTCTCCCCTGGGAGGTGGCGCAAGAGCGCGAAGTTTTTCGCACTTCGCGCTTCGCGCAGCGCGAAGCGCGAAGTTGGGAGCCTTTGGACATGCTGTTCATTTCGCGCTCCCCGGGCGTCGACGTCACGAGCCTTTCCCAGCCTCCCGCCCCGCGGAGCGCAGCGACACGCCATCTGCTCGCAGGGCATAGCGTGTCGCCGGGGCCGCCGCGGCGATACGCTAAGCAGAAGGTGCCGACCGCAGAAATGCCAAACGAGGAGAGGAGCCCTGGGCAAGGAGACCCTGGGCAAGAGGAGGGGGCTACCAGCCATATCAACGAGAGCCCCATGGGCAAGAGGGGGGGGCTACCGGCCATCCTAGAAAAATTCGCGAGTCAAGGGCCCGCCTTCCCTCCGAATGGCTTCCAGGCCCGGCGCTGCCATGGAGATCCTACGAGAGAGCTTGGCAGCACACCTCCGGGCCAGCAGCGATGCCCTGATGCGTCTTTCGATGAAGGTTTTAGGAGACGTCCAAGGGGGCACCCGTTGGGAGTGTGGCTCCCCCGTCGCGCCGTTGGCTGCGCATACTCCAGATTTCGTAATAAAGGGAGGGGTCTCATTTCGGGGGGGATCTCTTCCAGGCTATCTTGGAGGGCCTGGGGGGGTCTGGGGACGATGTTTTGGAGGGTTCTCCCACGGGGGGGGGTCTGAAATGGCTTTTCTTGGAGGGTCCAGACCCCCTCCCTTTTATTACGAAATCTGGAGTACTTGCGCCCGCACCGCTTGGCCAGGATGACAATGCACAGCCCATTGTAGTCAAAGTTTGTGAGGCAAGGCCAGAATTCTCTCTATGCTGTGGCATGTCCACAGTATCACTCTCTCTTTGCGGGCTCCATGGGCGCATCTCACCGCATTGCAGGGAGCAGCGCGACGTGTGTTGGGCGAGATGTCTCCCCCGTTCCCATCCTACCCCGCAGCAGTTTGAGTCCAAGCGCTTTTTTTCGTCGGCGAGCCCTGGGGGGAAGTGTGAAGGGGCGGGCCTTTTCAGAAGGCTCGGAAGCCCCCCCCCCGTCCTTCCGAGAAGGCTTCTGAGCCTTCTCCGAAGACAGCGGACACTTCTGAGAAGGCGAAAGAGTTTCCGAGAAGCCCCGCCGCCCTCTGAGAAGGTCTCCCCCTTCTCGCTTCCCCCCCCCCCTCGCTGGCCGCCGACCGCAGCAGTTTGAGCCCGAGCGCTCTGTTGCCTCCTTGGCTCGGGCGGCAGTTTTGACACGCCTTCGGCGACATCGCGCGGGACGCGCCGAGATTCGATGCTCGTTTTGGGGACCTTTCTGGGGCACACCTAATGGATCTGTTCGACTCCAGTTCGACTCCAGTTCGACTCCAGTTTGGCTCAAGTTCGACTCAAGTTCGACTCAAGTTCGACTCAGGTTCGACTCAGGCTCGACTCAGGTTCGACTCCGGTTCGACTCCAGTCGACGCACGGTCGACGCAACTTCGACGCACGAGCGGAGCGATTGGCTCCAGAAAGGTCCCCAGAATGAGAATTTGTTGAGGAGACGTAAGACTCGGGTACGGGGGACTCGGGTTGGCCTGACGGGGCCATCGTAAAAATGACGAGACCCAATCTGAAATTTGACCCGAGATCCCACCGCAGACATCCCACGAAAACCGGACCGCCAAAATCCAGGACGCGCTCGTACAAAAAATCGGCAGACCCGTTTTCCGGCTTACTCGAGTCTTACGTTTCCCGAATCTGGCGAGATTGGCGCAGGCCTCGAGGTTGACACCAACACCAATATCGGCGGTGTGCCCCCACCGAGGGAAGAAGATCCCGATCTCGGCGATGGTGGTAATATTTTGGCTTCCAAGGTGACCGAAATCTTACTACCAACACCGAATTTTAGGACCACCTTCCCCCTGTGGAGGCAACCCCCTGTGTTGGTGTTGGTGCCCATTTCCAGGCCTCCAAGAGATGGCGCCACCGACCCGCCGCCGTGCCCTGCACATGGGCCACCTGCTGCTCGCCGGCGCCCTGCTGGCCAGCCACTGGGCCGCCGAGCGGCTCGGCGACCGCGCCCCGCCGGCAGCGCTCGCCGCCGCTGCGCCGCTGGGCCCCGGCGTGAACGCCCTCGCGTACGTCCTCCGCGTGGCGCGCTTCTCGGCGGCAAGCGACGGGGGAGGAGGTAGGAGGAGGAGGAGGAGGAGGAGGAGGAGGAGGAGGAGG